CAACACGATTCTCAAACGCATTGTGTATCTTTTTAATGCCACTTTTCGTTGGTTTCTCTGTTGACAGAAGAGCACACAATACCATATGCCCCTCGACCAATAGGTTTAATGGGCACATATTTTGTATCAATCTCAACACGTTTGCCACACGAAAAATAGTGCTTTCCTTGAGACCGAACTCCATTTGGAGGTTCAACTGGGTTGCATATCCTACTGATAATCATAGACCCAAAAGGACAAAAAAAAAAGGATTACTACAGTGAACAAGTTAAATAAGTCAACTGAGAAATAAATCAGGTCAAAATTTAAAAGATCGTAAACCACTTAAGTACATATATTTCTTAAAGTAATACTGAACAATATGATATTTGGCAAAAGAGAATACATAAGATTCATAATTCGGTTGAAATAAAACAAATCTCAGAATAAAAGTATCGAGTGGCGACCAAATAGTGGAGCTCTCATAATCAAACTATAATGGGGTGAAGGTAAAAGCTTTAAGATTTTCATAATTTAAATGCTAAATTCAAAGGGAAAAGTCAACCAAACAGAAGAAAAAAAGAGTTACAACCCAACAAAAAGAAATTAAAACAAGCCACAAATGGATAAAACAACTCTAGTCTCACCCCATCAAAACGAATTTCTTAAGAACCAGAAATTTTTTTTTTTTTTTAAAAAGCACCATAATAAAAAAATATACAGGATTGAACTTATAATTAACATGATTTACTAGATAGAAGAAACAGTACTAATTTGGAAAAAGTATAATTACCTTCTACGAAAAAATAAGTCTCGTTCTTCCAAGTGACCTCTCTAATTCTCCTTCAACCAAAAAGCACTAACTTACCTTCCAGTGACATAAATCAACTGTGATGCAGCTTTTATGAAATACTCTCATAATGGAGGTGATGGGAATTGTAATAAGGGGCAACAGAGGTATGTTGTTAACAGGGCAAGCAAAAAAAAAAAAAAAATTCGCTACAACCCCTCTTGTAACTGAGGCACTAGCTATTAGGGAAGCTATAGTTTTGGTAGCCAATCTGGGTTTGAGTAGGATCTTATTGAAAACAGACTGTTTAGATCTTATTATGGCCTGCTAGAAGAAAAAGGTTTTTTGGGAGATTGATGGCATTGTGAGAGATATACACAACCTTGCCCATAGTTGTTCTTCAGTTGAGTTTCAATGGACCCGTAAAGAAGTTAATATGTTAGCGCATAAGGTTGCAAGGTTAGCAGTGTCAGATTCTCTACCTTTGAATTGGTTGTATTCTTGCCCTACGAGTATATTGAGGATTTCTCTTTAGGATAAGCCATATTAACATCCAAATTGGATTAGTTTGCTTGTCTTCTAGTCTATGGCTGTCATATGTATGTTATTATCTCATATGTATGCCTTGTTTATTTAGGAATGGTTATTTCATTCTAGAGGTGGAACAAATGGGCCGAGTTAGGCGGGTCAACCCTAACCCGGCCCGCATTAAAGAGTGTTTGTCGACCCCTGGGTTGCTGTTTTGTCCTTTCTGAGAAAGGACCGCCAACCCGCCGGGTTGACCCGCGGGTTACAACAGCCAACCCGCTAGGTTAGTCGAAAAAAAAATTAAAAAAAAAAAAACTAAAATTAATTTGTTTTTCTGAATTTCCCTTTTACCCTTGAAATATAGCCGTTTTATAGCAGTTAGAGGGGTCTTTTTCGTCATTTTCTTTTCCCAATTTTTTCTATAAATTGGCCCTAAACTCTCATATTTTCTCATAACTCAAATTCTCTCATTCTCTCTAATCTTTAATCTTTATTAAAATCTCTCAATTATTCTCTTAGTCTCTTTGTTATCAATTTGCTCTTATTTTAATTTTTATTATTTTTTGCAATTTTCAATTCATATTTCCAATTTTCCATATCCCAATTCTCCTTCTTTAATTTTTTATTTCTTTTACATCAATTTTTTTTTTCAACTACAATGGATAGATATTTCTCTTCCATCAATTTCAATGAGGAAGGAAACTACTATCCTAGTCCTAGTTCCACTGAATTTACTAACATGAATGTAGGAGGAGATTCAAATAGTCCCGCTCTTCCAGTCTCAGAATCCGATATACCTCAAAATATGCTATCGATTCCTCCCCATGCTGCTACCACCTACAGCTCCCGGTGGTTCTAGAAGTTGTCTTCGTAATCGTCGTCCTCGTCCAACTTCATCTCAAGCTGAAGCAGGTTCATCAACTGTTGTCGAAAGCGACAACAGACACACATCAAATGTTCGAAAGCGACAACAGACACACATCAAATGTTTGGACGCATTTCGAAAAGTTTTACGAGGCAGAAAATGGAGTTCAAGTGAAGAAAGCAAGATGCAAGTATTATGGAAATGCTTATAAAGCTGATTCAGGTAATGGTACTAGTACTTTAAAAAAGCATGCTAATAAACATATTGCTCAACATGGATATAGAGAAACCAATCAAACTCAAATAACTAATATGGGTACTACTTGGCGTTATAATTCTGATGTATATACGGAGCAATTAGTTTTATATATTGCTGCAACTGATCAACCTATTAATATGGCTGAAGATAAATATTTTGAAAGATTTATTAAAAATTCATTTTTTCTAGGATTTAAAAGTTATTCTAAAACTGCAACTAGAAATGATTTAATAAAATTGTTTAAGAAAATGAAATTAGAATTAAAAAATAAAATACATAGTTGTTATGTTAGTGTGACTCTAATTGCCGATATTTGAAGTGGTAGAGCTAAACAAGATTATATCTGTATGATTAGTCATTATTTTGATAACGAATGTAAATTAAATAAATCTTTATTAGGATTTAGATTAATGGATGTGGATCATAGTGGTCAACAAATTTATAATAAAATTTTGAAGTTTTAGAAGATTATGATATTGTTAATAAAGTGATAAGTTTAACTTTAGATAATGCAAGTGCTAATACTACAACTGCAGATTTTTTTCAAAGTAATAATCCTTTTTATAATAATTTGAAGTTTTTTCACCAACGTTGTGTATATCACATTATTAATTTAATTGTAAAAAGTGGTATGAAAACAATTAAAGAAAATATTGATAGAATTAGGGATTGTTTCGCTTGGATTACTGGTAGTAATAAAAGAAATGTTGAATTTTAAGATGCTTGTATAAAATCAAATATGTCTCCTAGAACTTTTGCATTAGACATGTCTGTTAGATGGAATAGTACTTATTTAATGCTTGATTTATGTTTACCTTGTGCTAATTTAATTAGTTATTTTGTAGTAAATAATAGAGGTCCTCATTATTTGGTAGAAAATGATTGGCATATAGCTAAAATATTTCATTCTTTTCTTAAAAATTTTTATCAATCCACTTTACAACTTTCTGGTGTGTATTATCCTACTAGTCTATTGGTAATACATACAATTATAAAAATTTCAGAGTTATTTACAAAAAACAAAAACAATAAAATTTTAAAGGAACCAATAAAGGCAATGGAAAAAAAAATTTTAAAATATTGGGAACCCATTCCTTTTCTTTATTGTTTAGGTGTTATATTTGATCTTAGAATTAAATTAGCAGGTTTAGAAAATGATTTTGACAATTTAAGTGAAAATTTACAAACCGAAGCATATGGCAATCAAATAGGAGAGGTAAAAAATTGTCTTGCAGAAGTATCTTTCCAATATGAAAACAAGTATGGGAATCCGCAAAGAGGCGAAATATCCAGGGAAGCTGCATCAGAAGAAACAAATGAAAACTTCTACTCTTGGAGTGCACTGAATAGGCCGAAGAGGACCCAAATCTGAAGCACAACCTCCTCTCTAGAAGCACCACCACCACCAACAACAACTAATATACTGTCTTCCATGCAGTCACAAAGTAATGAGCTTCAACAATATTTGGCAACCCCCGAAATATTACCAGCAGATCCACAACAGAGAGCCAACTTTGATGTCTTAGAATATTGGAAAGCCAGAAAATGTATTTTTCCGGTATTATCAAGACTTGCTTTGGATGTTTTCCCTGTTCCTATCTCAACCGTCTCATCCGAACAAACATTTAGTGTAAGTGGAAGAATTTTAAATGAAAAGAGAACTAAACTTTCTCCAAAAATGATTGAAGTCCTCACATGTCTTCGGGATTGGGACCGGTCGCACCATCAAGATCAATACGAGGTTGTCGACGATACTTTAATAGAATCATTTCAATTTTGTAATATAGATGATACGGATGAGAGAGGTCACCACCCCCAAATTAGTTGTTTTGTAAAATGTAATTTGTAAATTAATTGACAATTATTACACTCTTTTTTCTTTATCAAATTTTTCTCCCATTGGGTTTTTCTTGGTAAGATTTTTAACGAGACAATAATTGTTATAATTTTTTATTTTATTTTTTGATAAATAAATAAGTCTAATTTTTCTTATATTACAATTTTATTGTATTAAAATTGAATTAATATTCGAAATGTTAAAAAAAAAAAAATTAATTTAATTGAATTATTGATATTTGAAAAGTTAACTAAAAACAATTACATTTATAATTTATTCATTTATAAATTAGTAATTATTTATTTGAAAAGTTAAATAAATAAAACAAAATAAAATATAAAATAAAAAAAGAGGGTTAATCCGGCCCCGCCCGGCCCATAGCCTAACCTGGTGGGTTAGGGTTGGCGGGCCGGGTTAGGCCAACCATTTCCCCAAAAATGGCAGGCTGGGTTTGTTGGCGGGCTGACCCGCCAAAATTCGTAACGCACCACAGGTCGGGTCGGGCGGGTTACTTTTCCAGCTTTATTTCATTCTAACCAAAAAAAAACAAGACAATTTTCTATACCTACAATGTGATGTTATTGACTATTTCCATACGCTTATATTTAATTACAAAAGATAAGTTTCAAGAAGCAAAAAACAACACTCCTATATACAAGTTTAAAAGGCCACCTACAGTACAGGCTCAAGCTGAAGCTCATAAACAAGCTGTGGAAATAAAAATTAGTCATATCATGCATTGCATGATTATTAAAATGAAAAAACAAAGATAAATAACTGGTGACATAACAAAAAACCTTCCTCATTTAAAGGAATATACCTCCCTAAGCCTCACTGCCGAATCAAGAAAGAAAATATTAGGATCACTCCTCAGCATTGGCTGTCAGAAAACTGAGGATGGTAAATGAGCATTTCCTTCCACATCATCTCCCTTATCATTTCTTCCCCTAATTCCTCATCCAAGTCAAGATCAATAGGCACATCTGCTGGAGGGTTGCAGCTCGGATCATACAGGGCAGACATGTAAGGGTGTTGGAGAGCTTCAGTAACACCAATCCTCTTTGACGGGTCAAAAACAAGCATTTTTTGCAGGAGATCAATTGCTAAAGGATGCGCATTGGGATAAAGACGGGCAAAAGCGATCCCAGGTGAATATGGGAGCGATTTAATGTACTTCCTTGCCTTTGCATTATCAATAAACTCAAGATCCTCCTCCCTCTGGCTACCAAGAATGTTAATGATGAGTTTAAGTTGATTAAGACATTCTGTACCAGGGAAGATAGGTTTTCTACCAAGAAGCTCTGCAAAGATGCATCCAACAGACCAGACATCAATAGATGTTCCATAGTTGTCACAGCAGAGGAGAAGCTCTGGGGCCCGGTACCAGCGTGTGACAACATACTCTGTCATGAATTGATTCTTGCCATTGCTAGTGCGTGCTAGTCCAAAATCACATATTTTTAGGTCACAGTTAGCATTGACAAGAAGGTTCCCAGGCTTCAAGTCACGATGGAGAATGTTTGCAGAGTGAAGATACTTCAGGCCTCGAAGCAACTACACCAGGAAATATGTATCAGCTCAAGCAAGAAAAACTTAAGAAGACGTGTAAAAAATATTTGCTACAACATAATGTGCCAGTATATTTGAGAATTTAAGATTCCAACACAGGCAGCATACAAAGTGTAAGCATATTTGGAGACTCTTGCCGCAACACGGTAATATACTCGCATCAATTATTTATTTGACTGCTATGTGGGAAAAAAAAGGAGACAATTCATTTCAATCTCAATCGAGCAAAGCCTTAACCCACAGCTACTTAACAAGATTTGATTAGATGTAAAGTCCAAAACATTTATTTTATAAGTCCAAATGGCTTAATAAAGTTGCAAAGGTGGCTTTCTAGAGATATCCTCCCTTGTTTCTTATAAAAAATAAACAAAAATTAAAGATATCCTCCTGGCCTATAATCAGCCATTTGAAAGAGTAAATAGAACAAAAGTTAACAAAACTATAATCACAGGTAAAAACTGATCATATTAAACTCACAGTCATAAGCTATATCCCAAATTCATATATTTTTTTATCCTGCTGGATGGCTATTAAGTTTGTGTCAATAAATATGATGATCCTATTTCATATATGAGGTGTGAGCTAACAAATGTGTAAACACATGCTGTCCAACAGACTTTGACTGCACATTTTGGCATAAAGAATAGGCCCACAAAGACATTCTGCCTTGAACATTCTCTTTCAAAAATTTATAATAGATTTAATACTCCTCATTCCTCAACATGCCCCTCACTGTCATCCAGTGCAGGTAAACATTCTCTTTCGAAAATCTATAACAGATATAATACTCCTCAACATGCCCCTCACCGTCATCCAGTGCAGGTAAAGGGCTATAAGCCAACTTGGGAACTTATCACCTTTCTCCACTGACATGGTGAACAGAATTAGTCAAAGTGTTGCAGAGAATCCCAAATCCATGACAGGGAAATTAAAGTCTAAGATGCCAATGAGACCTCTAAGTCAACAAAGAAAGGATGCCTATAATAATGGACACCAATTCACAAGTTATCAAACAAAATTCAAGTATCACTGAGAACTAATTTTATGTCAAAATGCAATGTCAATACATGAAAACACAACACAGAATAAACAAGAAGAAAAACCTATGAGTGGAATGTCACACCTTCACATAGCAGCAATAGTTATCTATACAATAAATCACCAGAAATCATGCAATTCCACACTTTTTAGGCTCTTTCACAGAACCTTTCATCAACGAATTAGAAGCATAGCACAAGCTGCTCAACAATAGCACTTGCCTAACATTGCTCAACCAACTTTAAAAATCTCAATTGCAAAGTTATCAAACATGACATTTCTGGGTTTACCCAAAAAAAGTTATCAAAGATGATGGCAACTTACCTGGAAGAGGAAATATTGGCAATGATCATTTGTGAGTGCCTGAGAAGACTTAATAATTTGATGGAGATCAGTATCCATAAGCTCATAAACCAGATAGACATCCTTGAAGCTTCTCCTATGGCTAGGCATCATTACATCTTTTAAAGCAATCACATTTTCATGTCGAAGATTTCGAAGAAGTTTCAATTCCCGCAAAGTTCTCAGTGCATCAACACGATTCTCAAACGCATTGTGTATCTTTTTAATTGCCACTTTCTCGTTGGTTTCTCTGTTGACAGAAGAGCACACAATACCATATGCCCCTCGACCAATAGGTTTAATGGGCACATATTTTGTATCAATCTCAAACAAGGTTTGCCACATCGAAAAATAGTGCTTTCCTTGAGACCGAACTCCATTTGGAGGTTCAACCGGGGTTGCCATATCCTACTGATAATCATAGACCCAAAAGGACCAAAAAAAAAAAAAAAGGATTACTACAGTGAACAAGTTAAATAAGTCAACTGAGAAATAAATCAGGATCAAAATTTAAAAGACGTAAACACCTTTAAGTACAATATATTTCTTAAAGTAATACTGAACAATATGATATTTGGCAAAAGAGAATGCATAAGATTCAATAATTCGGTTGAAATAAATACAAATCTCAGAATAAAAGTTATCGAGCGGCGACCAAATAGTAGAGCTCTCATAATCAAACTATAATGGGGTGAAGGTAAAAGCTTTAAGATTTTCATAATTTAAATGCTAAATTCAAAGCGGGAAAAGTCAACCAAACAGAAGAAAAAAAGAGTTACAACCCAACAAAAATAAATTAAAACAAGCCACAAATGGATAAACAACTTCTAGTCTCACCCCATCAAAACGAATTTCTTAAGAACCAGAAATTTTTTTTTTTTTTTTAAAAAGCACCATAATAAAATAAATATACAGGATTGAACTTATAATTCAACATGATTTACTAGATAGAAGAAACAGTACTAATTTTGGAAAAAGTATAATTACCTTCTACGAAAAATAAAGTCTCTTTCTTCCAAGTGACCTCTCTAATTCTCCTTCAACCAAAAAAGCACTAACTTTACACTTCCAGTGACATGAATTCACCTGACAAAAGTATCTAAGCTACATCTGAATCCATCCAATTTTTCTTCCAATTTGCCTTAAATTCCTTCAATAAAAACCATCACGACCGCAAATTCAATCGCGTAAAAGTTACCTCGCCAGGGAGTTGGCGCCAAATTGGTGTCTACAGAGAGCTGAGGATTGGATCTATGGAAGGAATTGGTCAGTTACTTCTTGTTATTTTCTTGTCAACGATGAGTTCGATTGGATTCACTGCGATCAAGATTCGTTATCCGAACGCCATCAGACAAACATATAGAAAATTCGGATTTTTATTTATTTGATTTATGGGCTTGTGTTTAGCTAAATGCATCACGCGGCCCGGTATTCTCTCCAGTAACTACACCTATGGATATTTTTTATTTTTCTGGTTGAGAGGGTCCCATTTCTTTAACCCAATCTTTTGTTAGATACAAGGCAGCAGCTAAACGTAGACGTTTTAGAATCTGGATGTCAGAAACGACGTAGTCCAGGAAATATCGCAATTCGTGGACAGATGCAGCATATAATATTTTTGGTGGTAAAGGTCGTTCGTTTTATTATTCTCATAGTTTTTAAAATAATATTTTAGAAAATATTAAATTTAATAGGTATTATGATGTAAGATTTAAAAATTAACAAAAATATCTCATATATTTGTTTATTTACTAAATACCTTTACAATAAAATATTAAAAGTTAACAAAAATATCTCCAATCCACCCATTAAATACGAATAGCCAACCACCACCGCTGGAGAGTGATCAGAGTCACCGTATCTGTGTATGATCGGCTGGATATTACCGATCCATGATAAATCTGGCCAGAAAAAGTCAAATCTATGACTAGATTTAGTCATTGATGGTCAGATCTAGCCATATTTAATCGTTTACGACGACCAAAGATACAAACATCATTGATGATTAATGATTTTCGGCCAGATCCACCGTGAATCTGGCCGAAAAAGGCTAGATCGACACATCATCAGCCAGATTCAACCGGTAGTATGCCATTATACTAGATTCCGGCCAGCTTCCGGCAGTGGTGGCCGGAATCTGATAAATGTAGGTTGTTGGGGTGTTTTTGTAATTTCTAAAAAAATTTGGGAGTGTTTATTTAAATTAACAAATTTAGAGGGATTTAAAAGAAATTGAATAATATAAAATAATATTGTGAGAATAAGCCAATTTTACTGTTTAATTTTATTGAGAAAACTTATAATACTATTTTGAAGAGTGAATCAAACGGAGCCACAGTCACTTTCATTTCATGATTCAATTTATTTGTATACTCAAACTAGTCCAATTTTTGGTATAATTTTTTTTTTTTCTGAGAAAAACAATTTGGTAAATCATAAATTTTTTGGGATATTATCAATTGAAGTAAAAATTTATAATCAAATTAAAAGTTTTAGATATTATCAATTTCATTATTTGGATCTTAAATACGTCAATTATAATCATATTTTTATGAATGCATATACTATTCAATACAATTCATATTATGTATTTGATTAATATTTTTTTTCATATGTTGTTGAACGTTTGTAATCTTCAATACGATCCCATGTTATATAGTAATGTATTTTATTAAAAATACGTTGATATTAAATTTTAATAAAAACAATTCATATCAAATGTCTAATTAGAAGAAAAGTATGCGGTGAGCGTGGATCGAACACGCGACCTTCAGATCTTCAGTCTGACGCTCTCCCAACTGAGCTATCCCCGCAAGATGTTGACCGTGACTCTAACAATTAATTGAATCATATAATACTCCATCCCAGAAAAACCTCAAAAGAAGTAGTTTCATATCATTTGGAATACAAATTAGCAATTTCAAGATTTAAATTGATATGGGTGTATATTTAATGCATCCTTCAAAATTTAGCAATCAGAATTTTAACGGTATAAATTTTGATGCAATCTAAGATATTGAATGTTCACCGTTATTTAACCACCTGATATTATAAAATCGTTATTAGACAGTTTTTTTGTTTCGGTAGAAGAACTAGTCCAGCTGCCAAAGTGATGGCAGTATACAATCCTTTTATGGTGACTAGAAAGACGACGTTGAATGGTTTAATGGAAGCGACGCATCACTTGCCTTTTCTAAGACTACTGATAGAAGTTTACTTGATTTGTTGATCATCTGTATTATCTTTTCTCTGTTATACAGCTCATTTCTCATTTCTGTATGTGCATCTCAACAACTTTATTTTAGTTTGACCCAAGCTGTCACACTTCGTCCGTATTCAAATATGAGAATTGATATATATATTTTGGATTTGTTCCGGAGATTCAATTTTTATTTTAATTTTTGACTTTTGGCTTCTGTGGAGCTGGATGAGATCATTTTAGATGTAATATCATGATTTACCCTGTTTTGTTGTTCATTGTTTATACAGCTCTTGGGGCTGTCGTTTGTGAAATTAAATTTACATATGGAGTTAGAAATTGTATTGGCAAACACTGAAGTCATTCTCAACATCAGTGCTGCCTGGGATAGTTATTACTTATTGCGAACTCTGTTGTGACAAGCCCAGGCCCCAGTGGCAGGATGAGGAATTTTTTCTAGACAGAAATAAGAAAATAAGTGTTACATTCAGCCTTGGCATCAACACTTAAAAAATTGATATGAAGAAATCAGACCTCGATCAACATCATGATGTATACCCTTGTCTTGTGGAAAAAGTTTCTCAGTTTAGTTTTAAGTTTCTCAGATAGAGCACAAGAACAAACATTAAGTTTCTCAGATGGTCAGAACCTTTTTATTTTGGTTTGGGGTATTGTTTTGTTTATTACATAAATTCTTATTTTGATGTGAAGTGTTGTTTTATTTACTGCATCAGATAATATATAGAATCTATTGAAGGTTGAATAAATAGGAGATGTATAAGATAAGGGTGATTTTGAAATAAAATTTATTTAAATTGAGGTTTAGAAGGAGTTTTTGTGGACTCAAATAACACTACACTTAACTTTTAAGCCACAAAAACACTTTGTTCCTTGACATTTTGTGTTCGTTCCCAGCTTCACTTCTATGTACAAAATCCATGGACTAGAGCCCAGTTTGAAGAGGCCTTGAATTTGATAAGCATCCAAGTTATGCAAACAAAATATGTGATCTTGTTATTGAAACTCAATGGTATGTACAGTTCCCTCGCTCAGGATGACTATATTATTAGCTTTAAGATTCTTTCTTCTGTGCAGGGGTGGGGAGCTCTTTATGGCAGCAATCAGACAGAACAGAAGCATGCTTATTTATGTATTACCTGATAAATTGAGCCACAGATCAATATTTAATAGACAAGTGAAAATGGTTTGTACATGAGATCTAACCTTCTTTAGTCCAGTAATTTTAGAATAATATAATATAACATAGAAACCCACATGCTGAGAATCTACAATAACTTGCAAGCTCTTCTCTGTAAAACAATTACTGCAGCTTTTCTTTTATCTTATCACTTGTTCAATAAGTTATACGAATCCCCATTTCTCCATTTTTCTATAGTATAGCTTAGAACTAGTAGTCAGAGACTGGAATATCCATATCAAGGGGTGAGACATGTCACTTACAGATTTCTGAATTACAAAGTTATATTCTTTTCTTACACCTCCCTTCTTGTCATTTTCATCATAAACAATGATTTTAATATGGCGATCATATATGCGAAAATGAAATGTTCTCCTAGTAGAAAAAGTAATATTCGCACCCTAAGATATTGGATTTGAATCATTTTCATTGATTGAGAAGTTTTTGCTGGAATCAATAACTGTGATTGAGAACATCTGCAGTTTTTTTTTTTATCCTTAAAGTTTTAAGGCACAATCAAAATTTTGTTTTTGGAGCATCACAGGTAAAGCAAAGAAGCTCAATCTCTTATCAGGAGGTCCTACTTGAAGAAGTGGATGCATCCATCTTTGGGAGATGTGGACTTGGAAAAAAGGTTGGGTTGTGGCGTTGGGGTTGTGGCATTAACTTATCTATCTTATTGTTGAAGATGGTGAATTGGTGATGATGGATAATCATGATAATAAAAATTATATGATTAAGACAAATGGGTGCATTGTCACATCAGTAATGGAGTGGCATTGAGCCAAAATGGAGGATGACATCACCACTGTGCTCATCAATATCCTTTATCAAAGTTAACTGGACTGAAACTTACGAGTACTTGCTCCATTGATTTGCAGGTAGCAAAATGTAATAGGAGTTGAAAATTTTCAGAATTTTTTAGAAATCTCCTTGATGCCAATTGTCTTGGAGATTAGGGTATATATGCATCTAGATATAAGATGGTTTAGATGGGTTTTGACAAGAACTTGATTCCATATTATCCAGGGAAAATATTTTGAGCTGAAGAAAGTTGAATAGTCTAATCTTTCGGTTATACTATTAAACAAAGTGCTCTTCAGAAAGTAGATTCCAAGTGGCTAATCAAAAAACCTTGGAAATATTCTGCTTATCACAACAATTAGATATATAGCCATGCTAAAGTTTTTCACTTTAACTTTCGGAAACGAAATCGTCTTTGCTTTGACATTTAAAATTTACTTTGAGAATTTGATGCTAATTCAATTGCCTTTTTCGTCTGAGTCTTTAATTTTCTTTTTTCCTTTTCTGTATTGTATATATTTATGTATTACAATTAGTGCTTCATTATTCACCACTTGCTATAGACAATTGGAATCACACTTAAAACCATTCCCATCAACTAAATTTGTTGTAACTGAAACTTGAAGAAAGCTTTTTGATCCTAATACTAGAAGCAGCATAAAGCATGTTGGTACTTTTGATTTTATTTAGTTATTAACCCTAAAGTCATAATGTAGAAAGAATTTGAATTCTCGCCGTGAGGCGGCTGAAGCTTATTTTTTCTTACCCGAACCGGGAATTTTAAGGCATCAAGTGGCTTAAGAAATAATAAACTACAAGGGACAGATAGTAGAGGCTGTGAGATTTTATGTAATATTTTCCACTCAGGTCTAATCGAATTTTGCCTTCTTAGCCTAAAGAATATTAGCATTTAGCAAAT